CGTGTAACATATGGAATAGAAGCAACAAGGGACAGTAGAATCTAACAGGACTGCTACATCCATAGTATTTTTGTAGTCCACTACGGGTTGGTTGCCCGCACTCTACGTCACACTATTTGCCACGCCTGGTAATTATCTGTGTTTTTAGAGGTTATATGATAGACATTAATACGTCTAAAAACATAAAACTTCAAAAATATAATGAATACGTCTAGGATATAACCTCTAATAATACACAGCAAACATAGACCATAACAACAGCTGGGCGTGGAAAATGGTATGTCGTAGTTTGCGGGCAGGTTGTCACAACAATGGATGTAGCAGTCCTTATGCACTTGCATTATCCCACATAAAATGCAACATAGCTTAATAGTACAAGCATGGGGTAGTTTTGCAGAGGAAAAGTTTTGCTTGGAAAAAGGTGACGTCTTTATGATAACTCTGAGGTTCCGTCTTAAAAGACGCACGGTTAAACCCAAATGATTCTAGTTCTAAGTCTTGTATTAGTTTTAGTGATGATGCTAGTGTAAAACTAGAACTAACACTATACCTAGAACTAGAATCATTCGGATTTAGCCGTCTTTAGAGACGTGCGGCTAAATCCAAATGATTCTAGTTCTAGGTATAGTGTTAGTTCTACATAGTAATAGTGCTAGTATAAAACTAGAACTAACACTAGTCCTAGAACTAGAAACATTCGGATTTAGCCGCACGTCTCTTAAGACGGCTAAACCCAAATGATTCTAGTTCTAAGTCTTGTGTTAGTTTTAGTGATGATGCTAGTGTAAAACTAGAACTAACACTATACCAAGAATTTATTTAGAGATTGGTTATTATTATTAGTCAAAGACATGAAGTTATATCAAATTGATCTCAGTATTAGTTTAATTTTTGTGATCAAACTAACAATTTGTTGGTTGTAAAATGTCAAGAGATAAGAATGTTGGAAATTTTTTTTCTTATCTTTCGAGGGCTATAATTTGGAAGAGAAGGCGTTTTGAACAAAAAGTTATATGAAAGAGACCCCTTGATATAATTTTTTGCTGAAAAATCACCCCTTGATATCTTTCGCATCAATTTAGAAACACCTGTATGTTCTCAATCATGCATTGAAGAGCACAAAAAAAAANTAGGTCTAGTGTTAGTTCTAGTTTTAGTGCAATAAAAATATGCAACATAGTGATATCTTATGCTAACTAGCGCTACCTACCACTGTCACTAGAACTAACATAAGACCAAGAAGTAGAAACATTCAGGTTTAGCTGTCTTATTCTTGGTCTAGTGTTAGTTCGAGTCCTAGTGTTAGTCTAGTTTTATTTGTTATTCAGCGCTAGAATGATGTAAGAGTCATAAAAACTACATTTTTAGATAGTTTAGAACTTCCATGCAATGTGGAGTTTTTTTAGGGGATGACCACCTCTACATTTTTAAATAGCTACCCCTGTCGAGTTTTAGCTTATTTTAAAGGTTATGAAAAAAGTGCAAGGTATAACTAATAGTAAATGTTGTTATTAATATTAAGTAAGTTAGGAGTAATAAGGCTAGTACAACAAACATAACAAGGTTTGTTGTGCTACGTTAGCAATAAGTCTAGTATAAGTACAGTGTAATTAATTGTAAGAGATATAGTTGAAAGAAGTCAAATAGAAGTTAAGATATATAGACCGTATACAGTCTTTAATTATTAATTGGTCACTTTTACCAATCTTCCTAACATCCTAAAGACGAACCTTATTAAGTTATTACAAAAGAAATACTACCCCATAAACAAAACCCGATATGTTAATTCTTTCAAGAATTATGAGGGGTT